ACTTTCTCTTCATTTTTACGCTACTCTCGAAAAAGTTCAAAACTTGTTCACTATTAATTTGATTTTTAAATTTTTATTACTTTTATAATATAAAATAATTTTGGATTTTTTATTATAGTCAAATTTCAAATTTAGACAAAAATTTTTAACTTCAGTTTTTAAACTCCATTATATTGCTTCTCATATTTTTTCTTTCTCATGGTCAATCAAGCATCAGCCAGTTCCTTTTCATTTATAATTTAGTTTAGTTTCTAAATTTACATCATGACGATGCAGGTTCACTTTTGAAGTACAGTAATCACATCCTTACATTTTTTAAAGAGGTTTTGGTTTCATTTTTATCGTATTCAATAAACAATTAAGGAATATTTCTGATGAGTTAATATATAACTCTTATAAAAATCAGTTCTTTATTATTTTAATTTTCTTCATTCGATAGATATTTGAAAACGATTAATAGCGATAGTAGAAATAAGCATTTTAGTTTTTGTAAACAAAAATAATATTCTCAGAGAAATTTGAAAACATGATTTTTGACTTAATACATTCCCTTGACTCATCTGTTTAGTCAGAATAACTTAAAAATCAGCAAAATTAATCATTAATAACAGTAAAAAATTCATTTCAAAAGACTTACTTTGCAATTGGCCGACAGCGCATATTAACTAAATCACGTGTGTGATGATGAATAGAACGGTTACGAGAATTGAAGCGTTTGTTATTTATGACTAATAACTTTGATCAATAACGTAAAAAATTTAAGAAAACTTTAAGATCGCTTAGTCAAGCAAGGAAATTTATTTGTATTGTATGATATTTGAAAAGTAAAATATTGTATAAATGATTTTTTTTGAATATGAAGTCTTGTACGATAAATATTTTTTTCCACGTATATGGTAAGTCTATTTTTTGTGCCTTTTTTACAAATATGCGCATATAATTATTTTATATTTATAGAGTTATCTTAAAAAACTAGCAAGATTCGAAAACTAGAGGGGATATGTGAAGTATTATGGGTTCTAAGCATTTACATTTTGTTTCATTTTCTCTATACATCTTGAAGTATTAGTTTAAAGGAATGAAAACTATTAGAAAAATAATTTTGTAAATCAGAAATATCTTGTTCGTTGTGCTAGATCATATTACAATACTGGCAGACACAGACTACACTACAAGACAAAAATATCTAGCAATCTTCATCAGTCGATCATTTATCAGTTATATTTAAAAAGAAGTTTAGAAAATTATTATGATGCTAAAAGACAATTGGTAAGCGAATAAACAAACTTTTTACTTGAACTAGAACAAACTTCATACATTAGTCAATAAATGAAGTATCTACTAAGAAACACTTATTTCATTGAGTTTCGTTTTTTTTTGCAAAGATTTTAGGACTTTTAAAAGAACAAACTTTTTTAATGTCTGCAATGATTAATAATCATTTCTTTGTTACATTGTTAGTACTTCAAACTTTGTTCATAAATTTTTCTTAAATTACAAAAGTAAAAAGAAATAACATACATCATTAGGATTATTTTTAAAAGTTGAATATTATAATTTTGGATATTTCAAGGCATTATTTTTGCCAAAGAAGTAATTAAATTGTGCTTCTTGCAGACTATGTCTGGCTGCGATTTTTTCACTTGAAATTAGTTGCTCTAAGACGGCACGAAAAAAGAAGGCAAGGAATTTGATTGAAAAATGGGCAAAGGAAATGGTATTTCAGTTTGCCATAAGATGCGAAGAAAAATGGTTTTTGCTTTTTGCCACTTTGCCTACTTTCAAATTTATTTCACATCCAATACTTTTGCGTGACTCAAGCGACGTATTATATACATTTGCAAAGAAGCACAAAAATTCGGTTACATTCAACAACACCAAATGCTTTTTTTTATAGTAGTATAGTTTCTTCTTTTTTTTTTTGCATTTGAAAAGCTTCACAATTTTTTCTTCTACAACGCTTTTTAGTTCCTTCAGCTTTAGAATTTTAGAACCAAGTGATCGAAATGAAGAAATGAACTGAAGTTGTGCAAACGTGTAACAGTGCTGTAAGTATATTTTATCAGTAGAAGATCAAATTGTTCAATAGTTCTCATAAAAATCTAATCCATTTTTCATTTAGATCTTAAATTTGACTTTCAAATGACCATTATAAGTTAAAGTATTACTGACGTGTTTTCATGAATTGATTAATAATGCTTTTAGTAAATTTTATAGTCTACTTGTGCTCATTAAATGCTTTAAGTATAGTAATTTTTTCGAATTTTGCAGATTTTTGATTAATTTTAGCTCCAAAAACTGATTTCAGAAAATAAACAAATTATTGGGCAGTCCATAACTTTATAAAATATGTAGTCGATTGACTGCTGAAAAATTGCTTTATCACTATTTTTTATCCAAAATATGAGTGAGTAAGGGAATTGGTTGCATAATTTTATGTTATTACATTTGATTCGTTATTATCAGAGAAGTATCATTTTGAATAAATATAGAATTTGCTTGAATTATGTTTGAAATTTTTGAACATCTCAAAGAGAAAGGCTATGTAAAGTTTAAAAAGCTATTTAGATCTCTCAAATTAATAATTTCGCATATGAATTTGATGCTTTTGGTATAAAACTACGATAAAGTAATGCAAAATACTACAAGTTTATTAGCTAAAAATGAATAGTTTTTAAATGAAACTGTTTTTGGTAAGCGTTTGGGTTTATTAATGTATCCATCCTTTGAAATTGGTCAAAATTTTAACGCGGTAATCTATTAACAATACAAGTAGACGACAAATCATAATATTGTTTCGATGTTTAATTTTTATGCAATTTCGTCAATGATTTTCTTTCAGTCTCATCCATTGATTGAAGAGTGTATCCAAAATGTTCAAATTATTGTTTTATAATTATTGTCATCCGAATTTGCTCTAACAATAATAATTTTGAAAAATAAGTAGAAATTCGAAATATCGTTTCTAATTAGTCAGAGCAAAAAAAAATAGAAACTCTATTTTAGTCAGAAAAATGTTCAGAGAAGGAAAATTTGAATAAACTGCATACATATTATTCACAACAACAAAATCTTTTGTTTTCCAAAGAATAATTGTGACATTAAGTTTGAATTTAGATCCAAATACTGCAAAAATTCTTGTATTTGAGTCTAAATTCTTTGTTTTTTGATTACATTGATTTCGATTACTTGTGTTTTGTCTCACAGTTTACTTAAAATGAGCAAAATATCTAACTAACAATTGAAACTTTCTTTTTAGGCTATGTTTGCAATATAAGTGTGATTAAAATTTTTTAAATTAGTCATAAAAGCAGTTTAGGTTTCCTTAAAGAATTATTGCATGGGTAGACCGATTTATCGAAAAGTACCGTAGTATTTTTCGGGTGACCACTCTACAAGATTCTTAAAACCACGCCCTGAGACAAGTTGATTACTCCTCTTTTATTGGTCTAAAACTTAGTTGTCTTTTTCAAGGCACTTTTTCTATTTATACAATCTATTTCGTCTTTATCTTCACTTTTTGTAAAATTTATCAAGTTGATTGTGAAGGAAGTTAGATAAGCTTCTCATGCAGTAGTATTTTACTTATCTAAGGGATTGCACAGTTTTTGCAGTGAAGTAAGTGAAAGTGCCATCGATGTTATGGTTGCTCAAAATGCTGTATTTAGTAGGATACCATGCAAGGTATTCAAATAAAATCAAAGTTATTATCGTTTTGTACTTTGTTTTAACAATTTAAAAAATTGTGGACTACTTTTTAGACGAAATTCGATTATAGATTATAGTACAGTAGAATTAAATTTACTGAATTAATAACTAATGAGCACTTCTTATATTTGTTAATAAAAAATCAGAAATCGGGAAAATTATCAGTGAAAAGATAGAGAATAAAAATATACTGTTAGACGAAACTTAATTTGTAATATGGTAATAAATTCTTGGACTATTCATGTTTATTCGTTGCATCAGTATTAAGGTTGATGAGGTAGTTTATAAAGCTGCGAGAGTGGTTTAAGTTCGCAGATTTTAAACTATCTCGACTGCCTTCATTACCCACTTTGCAACTTGTAATATGCTTGAATTTCACAGATTTTTCAATACTTATCTATCTTATCCGAGTCATTTTCTTGATTTTATTTTCATTCCTCAACAGATTTATAGCATAGATTAAGTGAAAAGAAAGTGTACGCAGCTGTTGATGTTATCCAATAGCTTTCAAAGATAAAACTGTTCTAAACTTTAACTTTTTTTCAATATCGTCATTGATATTGAACAAATTCTGGTCAGATAGCACAATATAAAAGTATAATTATTATCTGAATTCTGAGAAAAATATTGAATGATCATAAAGTACTGGTAGGAATAGTTTCTCATTAATGAGAATTAATGAAAGCATAAATTTATTTGAAATGGAAAATTAAAAATTGATAAACGTGGCAAAATCATAATTAACTCAAAATTTTTTCACCATTAATTTTTTACTTTTTGATTATTCATATTTCCACGCCTTTTTTTATTACTTCTACGTGGATTATCAGTACTTTCGCATGGTTTTTGCCACGAATATGTTAGATCTTTTTTGCTTGACTATCCTTGATCATGAATCTTTTTAGATTTGTAGATTTATCGCAAACATCTTGTACTGTAGCTTTTATAAATGCTTGCATTTTTTTTTGAAAACTAGTGAATGATGGGATATTCGAATGCTTAGTTTCTCTTTCTTCACAAGTTAGCCAGCCAAATCATGATCAAGGAGAGTTAATTATACAAATCGAAAGGATTTTAAAATATTTCCTTTTAGACTATTTTTAGTTGCGAATGTCAATTTCAACCAGATATTGAACCTAACTAGTCAGAACAAAAGTTAGTTTTACAACAATCTTACAGTAATAATGATTTTTGCAAATCCTGTAAATTTGCATGTAGGTTGATCATATCAATTATAAAGGTTAGTTTTTTTCCTTTTAAATTCATTGTTATAGTTTTTAATATTTGCAAAGATGGTACACATACGGATTTGCGATCAAGCGTTAGAAGCAATGGCTGCAATTCTTGAATCGGAATCATTCTTTTCTCGAGTCAAGAGGTCATATAAAGGAATACTTTCAGTCTTGTTTGTCATTATGGTTTGTATTATTTGTAAATAAAATTATTTATTAGTTGCACACAAACTCAAATAAATATTTAGCATGTGATTTTGTTCAAATGTATTAATTTTTTTCTCGCGTTTCTCTTATATTTATTACAACTTCACAAGAATGATATTCTAAGTTTGTTGATCTGAATAAAAAATTAAAAGCAAAATGCTTGAAATCTGTTTGCTAATATAAACTGACAAATATTGTAATGCATGCATAACTTCTGATTTCAAATCAAAATCAAGTTGAAGTCTGAATTTAGCTTATCAAACAAATCAGTAATAAACTTTTTTTGACTGATACATATTTTGAAATCAGATTGGTTACTGTATTAATTTATATATTAGTTTATTATTTACTTGATGTTAATGCGTTTAACGTGAAACTTTTGTTCAACATAATACTTTTCGGCTTTACTTACTTTAAGCATTTCAAATGGCAAATGAAATTAAGCAGCTTATTTTGCAAATACTATCAATTAATCTTTAAGTGAACAACTTTTTTTCTAATTTTTTCTTTTGCCATTCATAGTATGGCTATAATTTTAGCAATAAAATCTGTGGCAATAATTCTTGTAGGGACAAATTTTTTAAGGTCTCATTAATGGTTGCACAATTCTGCAGTGACAAACAAAAACGAGTAATAATGGTCGAAAAAATTTGTCCTAAAAATGTTAACGAATGTTTTCTAATAAAAGATGAAAGTCTTGGCACTGAAAAGTAAGTCAAACATATACTATTTAGTTTGGTATGATCACAAAATTAGTTCAGTTATGCTATCATTCAAATTGCACATATATGATAAATTGATATTATCAGAAATGATGTACTCCGTAGTCTTGTACCAGAGAAATATCCCGAATTTGCTTTAGCTCAGGTGCTTCTAGAAGGCATTACAGGTTCTGCATCTTCAATCAAAGTCTATAAAAATTATTTCGAATTTTGCTAAAGAGATAAAATGCTAATAATTTAATAGAAATTAAAAAAAAAACAATAAAAGAGAAGCTTTTTTTTAAAAAATTTTTATAATAAAAAAT